AGCCTCTCAAGTGGGAAGGTGAGAGTCGAACTGATTACATTTCCTGGATCCTCTAACCTCCACACCTATCCAACCAGAATACCCAGGAAGTAGAATCTGACCCTGCAGTGCTGTGGTCTGCCGTTTGAATGGATGAAAAGGAATCTTACTGTAATCAGCCTGCTCGTGCTGCCGTAACAATTATTTTCTCACAGTTCTGGGGTCTTAAAGTCCAAATTCAAGGTGTCAGCAGGGTTAGTTCCTCTGAGGGCTGTAAAGGAAGGACCTGTTCCAGGCCACTCTCTCTGGCTTGTGGATGGTCACCTTCTCTCCATGTCTTCACACCGTCTCCCCTCTGTAGGTGTCTGTGTCCAGGTTTCCTCTTCCTGTAAGGACTCCGGTCATACTGGGTTAAGGCCCACTCCAGTAATCTCATTTTAATTTGGCTCTTTACAGACCCTAGCTCCAAATAGAGTCACGTTCTGAGGTACTAGTGGTTATTTCTCAACATATTGATTGGGGAGGTGGAGGCACAATTCCACCCATAACACATCTTAGAATTTTTTAAAATTTCCATTCGAGGTTACTTATTTTGGGGGTGCATATAGGGAGTAAGTTGCAGAGGCAGCCATAAGGAGAAACTTGAGAGAAGAAAAATGGTGCTCAAGGTTAAAAGTAACTCTCAACATGGGGAGGTGTTACTGAGGAGACGGAGGGAAGCGTGTGCCGTAAAAACCAGGTGTGGGTGATGCTGTGCCCAGGCTTGTTCCAAGCACCCCATCTTAGCTCTAGTTTTCAGTTCTATTGTAGGATATTGGCTTTGAAATGATGTGATGTTACATCCCACTCACATTTGTCAGCTGGCAACCCCAGTGCCAGATTCTGGGATTTCAGAGAAAGGGGTAAATGGGTGATAGCAAGCTCACACCTGTGTGATTTAGTCATTGTCATTGACTCATCCGGAAATACCATGACATGGCCATGTGTCCTAACATGTTCAGAGATCATCACCTCACCCCACCCCACCCCCAGCTTGCCTTTTTTGTCATTCCCTCCCTGGCTTAATCTAGGTGACTTCTTTGGGCTTCCTGCAAAAGTGAGTCATTAATCTAACGGTTGACATTCTGTACCTAGTGGTGGCTCTTGAGAGCTGTGTTGTCAGGAATGTAGGATTAGATAAATGGGGCAGGTAAGGATGCAGCGATGGCTGTTCTAGGCTGCAGTCCTGAGTGGGACTAGGTTGGCTTGCCCAGGAGATGGCTGAAGTATGTTTCCTCTGATGCAAACCTCTGAACTTGTACATCTAATGTATCATTAGTAAGTCTACATGCATGGTAGAAGCTTGGAGTTTCTGTGCTGTTAGTGGAATTAGATCAATTGAATTTGGTAACCTAGAGGAATAGCTCACATGGGCAGTTACATTACTTTGATACAGAAATAAAAATGAAGGAATAAACTTCAAATGTATAAATGCATTAGGTTTTAAAACACTGTATTCCTATGTGGGGGTGAAGACCAATAAAAAAGGAATCCTTGAAGGCTATAAAGTCAAGAGTGAATGTCACATACCTCTGTCACACATTTATCTTTCCAGGCCTGGTTTCCATAGTGTTTGTTTTTTTTGTAAACCTGTATCCCCAGGACCTAGCACAGTACCTGCCACTCAGATCTTGACCCTCTGCCCCCTTATCCTGAGAAAGATTTAGAAGGCAGAATTACCCCTTTGGTTTGAACTATTTCACTATCTGAATTTAATTCCTGTCTTCCCCCCCCCACCACCACCTTTTTAAAAAATTTTGACCTGAAACAAATTCCTGTCACTATTTTTTCAAATATATTTTTATTGATTTCAGAGATGAAGGGAGAGGGAGAAGTAGAAACATCAATGAATGATGAGAGAGAATCACTGATCTGCCGCCTGCACAGCCCCTACTAGGGATGGAGCCTGCAACCCGGGCATGTGCCCTTGACCAGAATCGAACCTGGGACCCGTCAGTCTGCAATCTGATGCTCTATCCACTGAGCCAGACCAGCTAGGGCTCTTGTCACTATTTTGAAAATTGTATGCATCAGATCGAATTGTATATATCAGAAACGTGTTAGAGCCAGGAGTTAACAGAATTGTGGCTGTGTTGTTTTCTCTGAATTGTCTCAAAATGGACTGTGGATCTAGTAATTGGCAAGTCCTCTATTTAAAATTTTTAGGAAGCTAGTAAGAATTAACCCTTTAAAAAAAAGAATTAACCCTTTATCCTTTATGTACCCTGAGCTTCACAAATTGTGGTTTTTGGAGAGCCAGACCAATTTGTAAACCATCTTGATCCTTCTCATTCCTGGGCTCAAGGCTGTCACATGGCCTCCTCACTGAAGGGTTTCCCAGAGCACCTGGCATGTGGAAGTCAATAAACACTTGCCATTCAATCATGTACAAAAGACACTTAAGAATAAATGCAAAGTCTAATACCAGCTAATATTTACTGAGCACTTCGCTTACTATGGAACGGGATGGGTCGGGCATTGTGCCAAGCACTTGGCCCACATTAACTCATTGGAATCCTCCCGTCCCTGTGAGTCCGGTGTTAGTAACTCCTCCAGAAGAGTCACTCGGGGACCAAAGTGATTAAGGTGTTTGCCTGAGGTCCCATTTGGTGAATGTGAAGTGCCCAGACTTGGGACCACGCCTGTAGCCATTACACCTCACTGCTGCCTCTGGAAGGCGTTCAGAGGCTCTGGGGAGACAAAGGGGATGCCTGGTACCCAGGCTTGGCTCAACCCTGCCTCTTCCCGACTCCCCTGAGGTCCTCAGACCCAGGCCAAGTCTCTCTCTGCCAGGGTGCTCACCTCAGCCTTTGGTCCCCCCTGGACCTGAGCACCTGTGTCCTGGCTTTTCTGGGGTGTCACCGGGTTTGCGATTTGAGTTTTGGCACCTGGAGAGTAGAATGCCTGGCCTGATGGGAACAAGAGTGCTCTCCAGCTCAGAGCTGTCAGGGACACTTCTGGCTAGATTGGCGCAGCCCTTTCCCCTGCTGAGTGGATTTCCCCATCGAAGTGGGCTTCCTTGTAACGGAAGGGCAGGGTCCCGGCCCATGTACAGTGTTCATGAGGAGACGTCTTGAAGCAGGTCCCGAGCTACGCAGGCTCAGATAATCCTCTGAGAAGGGTTCGGAGGAAGATGAGCTACCCCCGCCCAACTCCAGGTGAGGGAAGGGAGGGTGAGACTGGCCGGGCTCCCCGGGACGGGACCCTGACCTCATTCAGGGCAGGCTCTGCCCTTCGCACTGGGGATGGACTCGCCTCCTGACCAGAACGGCTGGCTCTCTAGTTAGAGGAGTGGGACGACCAGCAAGAGGCGCGAGGGCTCCGCAGTGGGCGGAGGAGTCCGTCCCTGGTGGTCAGGGAAGGCTTCCTGGAGGAGGAGGACCGTTGGGGCAGCTTGGATGGCAGGGAGGACTAGCCAGGGGGCGGGACGGGAAGGACTCTCCGGGAGGGGGGGACTGTCAGCGAGGCTTTGGGCACCGGGAGACCCCAACCTGGAAGAGGCGCCCTCGGCGGGCGGGGACTCTACCCCCTACCCCCAACCCTTTAAGGCGGAGTGCGAGCTGAAGGGGGCGGTGCCAGGGCCCCTCGCGGCCGCTGATTGGGCGGTGCGACCGAGCGGAGCCGTTCTACGGGCGCTGATTGGTGGGCAAGGGCCGGGCTCCGCCGCCAGGTGATCCGAATGCTGGTTCCTCCGGCCACGTGGGGGCTGCCGGGGGCGGCGGGCGGCTGAGCGGGAGGAGGAGACGCGCGGAGCAGCGGGATTGAGACGCGGCGGCCGCGGTGAGTGAGCGCCTGAGAGCCGGGAGCCGGGCCAGGGCAGGGGTCGGCGGGTGCCGGGCTCGGTCCTCCCGCGCGGAGATGGGGGAGGGTCTCCGGTGGCGAGGAGCACCTCTGCTCCCTCCCTCCGTCACCCCCCCGCCCATCACCGTCACCCACCTCTGCCCCGGCCTCCAACACCATCACCACCCGTCACCCCCGCCGGTCCCTGCAGCGTCCTGCCTCGCTCGCCCCTCGGTGGGTCCGGGGAGTTCCTCTGCCCCGGGCCGGGGCTGCCCTGGAAGCCCTCGCAGCGCTCCCCAGGAATCAGCAATCGTAGGGATGATCCCCCGCCGTGAGCGCTCCGCCCTGCGCCGGCCCCTCCTGAAAACAGCACGTTCCGCGCAGGTCGTGTTTGGAGAGGCCGTCCTCGACCACCTGTGTTAGCACCCCCTTCCCTCCACACACCCTCAGCTCCTCCTCCCCTGCTGCGTTTCTCTCTGAATCATTAACGCCCCCCCATGTTGGTTTCGGGCCCCGGCCCCCCACCAGCCTGAGTGCTCCATCAGGCTGAGACTTTGTTTGTTCCCCTGGCCCGGAGTCCCGCTAGGAAATAGTCTCGGAAGAAACCAGTGCCCCCCAGGAGGTAGCTGCCGTTATTTCCCCATTTACAGGTGAGGGAGTGGAGGCTGCGAGGTGAAGTGACTTGCCCAAGGTCACACCAGCCAACCTGGTGGGACCCATAATCCAGGGACTTGGCCCTGGCCCTGGGCTGCGGGGTTTCCGTTTCTCTCCTCCCGGCCTAGGGCAGGTCGGGGGGTGGCACTGGAGGGTGTGTTAGGGCAGGGGGGGGGGGGGAGTGTTGCATCTGGGAAGCTGAGCCAAAGGCAATGGAGTGAAGCAGGTGACTGGGGGGGGCCCTGGCAGCCCCAGACCATCTGGCAGTTAGAGAGAGAAAGCTGCTGTTTTGCTGATCCCATCCGCCCCCCAGCCCCTGAGGTGTTGCAGCAGCTGGATAGGCTGGGACCCACCAGACTCTGAAGGTGGACACCCTGCTCGGGGAGGGGAGCCTGAGAGAAGGGCACAGCCTGGCCTTGAGGAAGATCCCCAGAGACCTGGGTTTGCTTCCACACTTGCCCCCCCCCCCCGCCCCCGGTGACCTTGGGCAGGTGACTTCACCCCCCGGAGTGACCCTTTGCTAAGCCCAGACTCTGCAGGCTGAGTAGTGTCCCAGAATGCTGGAAAGGGGGCCCTCCATCAGCTGTGGTAACGTGGAGCGGGACCTCTGTCCTTGAACCCTCCAGGCAAGTCAGCCCATCCAGCCCCGTCTCCAAGCAGGGCCACCTGGGAAACCTGGGAGCAAGAGCCCCTCCTCCTTCCAAAGGTGTCCCCTCAGGGAGGTGCTGGGCCCATGGGCTCCTGTGCAAAACCTCAGAAAAAACAGGTCTGGTCCAAATGGATAAGTGGGTGTTTGTGCTGGAACAGGCATGCAGGTCAGGGTGAGCCTGGAACCCTCCTTGGTCCCCTGGGCAGCCCCCAACTCCAGGCTTGGGGCTGAAGGGCCCCTGCGGCTTGGAAGTGAGGGAGAGGGAGGGAGGAACTTCCAGTTTCCTGGGGGAGTTTCCAGGGGATAATGGATGGGGTGGGGCTCATGAGAGGACCAATGACCTCCCCATCCCCTCTGCCTGGACCTGGGCATCCCCAAGAGCCACCCCTCTGGATCCGCGGGCGGAGGCTGTGCCCAGCCCTAGACAGCTGTCTCGGTGTGCGATGTGCGAGGGAAGGTGTTTGTGGTGACGCAGGAGGCTCCTTCCCATCTTGCGTTGTCTGAGGGGCTGCGTCCGTCCGCACAGGCAGGAGTGTGCTCCGTATCCCTCCCTCCGTCTCGCCTTCATCTCCCCTTTTGTCTTCCTGACCCCTCACTCTTTCCACTTCTGTAGCGGCCTTTTCATCCTGTTCTCTCTCCCTCTCCCTTTCCCCCGCTTTGTTCCGTCTTTGCCTCCTCCGACCCTCACCGCCCGATCCTCACCGCCCGCGGGTGCAGGGCCTCCCAGCCCGTGCTGCGATTAGGAAGTTGGAAGGTCGGTCCACTGGAAGCCCCCCCTCCGCACCTGGAGTGGGAGCCGCGGAGCTTTGGTGCCTGTTACACGTCTAACTTCGCTTTACTTAAACGTAAAAGGCGTAAGAGGTCATAGACATGATGTGAAAGATGACCAGAATCGAAAAGCGTGAGGAAACTGGAGCACCGGAGGGAGGCGTCGGGAGGCTTCCAGGGGATGGCGCAGCCTTTGTTTTCTGGCTCTGATTGCTGCTGCTGCCTCCATTCGGGCCTGAGCCCGGGGCTGAGGTCACGGGCAGGCAGAGGTAGGCGCAGTGTCAATGTCTGTTCCAAAGCACCCAAAGCCTCCTGCTCCAAGGCCCCCTGCAGGCCGGTTGAGCACACCCAGGACGCACCCATTTCCTGCCCAGCACCCTGTCTGATCCCTCCTTTTTCCTGGAATTTGGCCCTTGGACAGGCCTCTCCTCCTGCCACGCCTCCCAGACTAGATGATCTGTCAAATGGGCCCAGTGCAAGGAGGCACTGCAAGTGGTCCCACCTCACTGTCTCCCAAGCTCCCTCCTGAACACCAGGCTGTGGGGCCTCGCGTCCCGTGAGACCGTGTTTGTTGAGCATCGGCTGGGAGCCTGGCTGGCATCGCACTGGGTGCCTGCTCCTCCACTCATTCCTCAGTGACGCCTCACATTATTCCAGGCTTGGGGACGAGGAAACAGCTCAGAGAGGTGAGGAGGCTTGCCCAAAGTCACACAGGATTTGGACCCACCTCGCAGTGATTGCAAGTAGGCCGGTGACACCGCCAGCTGGGGTCGGTCCCAGGAAAAACGGGCTGAGGCCTCAGGGACCCAGGCAGAGGCAGTCATGGGGTGGGGGTGGGGCTCCGCAGTCCCCCGGGCATCGTCCGCCTTCCTGCCTCCTGGCTCAGCATCAGTGGTGGGGTCTCGGGCCAGGGGCTGGAGTCAGGCTGAGCTGATAAGCCAGGGGCCTGTGAGGCCTCTCTAGGCGCCCAGCTCACGGGCCACCCCCGCAGGCTACAGCGCTCCTGTCCAGGAACCTGCTGTGGCTCCCCACTGCCGCAGGACAGAGCGGCCGTTCCCAAGTCCCAAGCTGGCTCCGGCCACCTCAGGGCCCAGCTGCTTTCACTCTGTGCCTTTGCGGACCGGTCTCCCTGCTGTCACACCCCTCCTCTTGGGTGGTACTGCCCCACCCCCCTGCTCTTTGTAGAAGCCCAGCCCAGAGCACAGGGGTCAATGTCTGACCCAGGGCGTGGACTGCCGCACCCCTTCCTTCAGCTGTTTCCCAAACCTCACTCCTTCCGCTGCAGTCAACTCCCAACCTGCATTTCATATCTTCCTCTCCACTTTGTCACCACCTAGCATATTCCCTGTCTTATCTAATGTCTTTCCCCCACGAGAATGTTGGCTGCATGGGGGCGGGGAGGGGGGGTTATTCTGTTCAGGTCTCTGTGTCCCCTGTGTCTCCAGTGCCAGTCCTGGCTTGACACACTGCACATGCTCAGTAAGGGTTTGTCCAATGAAGGAGCTGACTGGCATCCAATGGGAGCACGGGTTCGACTGCCTAGGAACCAGCCCTCTGCCTTGCCCTTTGCAGCCTTCTCTCCCGTGAGGCCTAAAGCTGGGCACCCTGGGGGCCATGCAGAAGGCTGGGGCCAGGGGCCGGAGGGCCTCTGACTGCGGCCCTGCCCCTCACCGACCCAGGTGCATCACCAAGTTTGCCCAGGTGGGTTTCTCCCACTTCTCCCATGGGTGCTCTGGTGGGCGGAGACTGGGTAGCAGGTCCTGGGGGTGGGGAGGAGCTATGGGGAGGACCTATTTCTGTGTCTTCCCTCCCTGACCCAGGCTCGGGAATGTGTGTGTTGGCATAGATGAGATGAGGCCTCCGGGGCTGAGTGGCTTGACAAGGCCACCTGCTGGGAAATAGCGGACTCCTAGTACAGTGCTCTGCCACGCTTACCCAGAGAGCAGTGTGTGTTTGGGGAGGATTTGGGGATGGGGGTCAGGAGCCATGAGCTTGACTTCCCTGCCTCCCTCCCACCCCCACCCACGCCCAAGCAGTACGTGGGTTCCTTCTCCGTGGATGACCTGGACACCCAGGAGGGCGTGTGGCTGGTGCAACAGCAGCTGTGGGCACTGAAGGTAGGAGAGCTGAGGAGGGCGCTTCGCTGGTGGGGGTCCCGGCCTTGGAATGGCCGCTGGGACCATCCATCTGGTCCCCACCCCCAACCATAGAGAGGGAGCAAGTGAGGCCCAGGGAGGGCAGGACCAAAGCCATTCCACACCCAGGCTCCTGGAGCCACATGCCCTATGCCCAGGGACTCTCTCCCTTAGTTGTCACAAGCGTCCCCAGGGTGGAAGGCACAGCTGGGAGATGCGGGGGATGGTCCTGGCTGGGGGAGGTCTGCCAAGAGTCAGTCACCCTTCCCTGGCTCCTGAGGGTCCATTGTCCAGGGCTCAGTCCCCTGGCAGGTGGGGGAGTTGGTTAACCACCCATAGTGACTGGTACTGAGGCTGGGCTGGGCAGGGCAGGGCCTGAGAGGTAATACCTGCCCCCCACCAACTCTGTTCCACCAGGACTGTCCCCGACGCCGGGCCGTCATCCTGAAATTCAGCCTCCAGGGCCTCAAGATCTACAGCGGGGAGGGTGAGGTAGGAGCCTGGGGGTGCAGGTGAGGACTGGGCAGGACAGGTATCCTCCAAGATGCACTTGCCTCCACGCAGGCCCTGCACTGCCCCTGGAGCCTCCCAGCTTCCCAGCCTGCTCAGGGCCTTCGGAGTCCTCTCTCCAGGGAGCCCCCCAAGGCAAGCTTAGCAGGCAGCCCGTTTCTCATCCACCTCACCCCTGATCCCGGCCCTCCAAAACCTCCAGGCAGTACCTCCTGGCCTGAGCATCAGGAACGGCCCGTGCGGTTTTGGCAAGTTCCTGGGCCTCTACGTGGCCTGCCCAGCGGGCTGTGGCCAGCCTCTCATGACTATAGAAGGGGGGCCAGACTCAGGCTGGAGGCTAGAGGGCCCCTGTTCCTTCAGCCAGCCTCTCCCGGTGCAAGCCAGTGTTTGTTGAACACTAACTGCATGCCAGATGGTACACACTAGGAGGCTGGGTGCCACCTCCTAAGACGGGTGCCCCTGGTGTCCCAGAGGTGTGCACCGAAGGGGCCCTGTGTCACTTGCACAAGGTCTCACTGACCCACCAACAGCCCCATCACGGGGGGGGAGGGCTTTACTCACCTGCCCAAGGCATACAGAGAGAGACAGTGGCAGAGCCAGGATGCAAACCCAGCTCATCCACCTCCCAGACCAGGAGTGCACCCCAGGGCCTGCTGTCCTGCCTCTCTGTGACCCCCTGCAGGCTGTGAATGCCCCGCGATTCCAGCAGGTGGCAGAGGGAGTAAGAGATCTAAGCCCAGTAGCCAGGGAAGGATGAGGTATTGCCTCTCGATTTGAAGCAGGGTTTGGACAGGCCTGGAAGGAGGGAAGAATTCTTTCCCCCAGGAGCTGGGTGGGCCTGAAACTGGGCACACAGGCTGGAGAGCAGGCCCAGGAGGCCTGCCAGCAGGTGTGTGGGGCCCACAGGGCTGGCTCACACTGGGCTGGCAGCTGCAGCCCCAGTGGTGGGTCTGACGGAGGCTGTCATGCCCGCTGCCTCCCCAGGTGCTCCTGATGGCACACGCCCTGAGGCGAATACTCTACTCCACCTGGTGCCCAGACGACTGCCAGTTTGCCTTTGTGGCCCGAAACCCACGGAGCCCGGCCAGCAAGCTCTTCTGTCACCTTTTTGTGGGCAGACAGCCTGGAGAGGTACCTGGGGCCCAGGCAGGGGACCACCACTGAGGCTGGGGTGGAAGGGTGCTGTGCGTCAGCATGGGGTTCCAGGGACCGAGGGGCCATGGAGGGCTTGGCCAAGCTGTCCTGAGCCCCCTCCAGACCTGGACACATTGCCACACAGGCTCCTTCTATGCCTCTGCCCACTGAGGACTCCACAGGAGCAAGTCAGTGGCCTCAGTATGCCTTGAAGACTAGGCCATGCACTGCGGTGTTGGAAGGTCACCCTGCCACACCTTGGCTCCTGCTGTTCTCTCTACCTGGGTGCCCTTCACCTTCTCATCCTGGCAAATTCCAACTGGCCCTTCAAGGCTCAGCCCATGTGCCTGTGCAGCCCACTGTGACTCCCGTAGCCCACCACTCCCTTGTGGGGACCTGTGACCTAAACCACACCGTGTCATCGTTAGGCCTGTCCCTAATTACAGACACTGGAGTCCCTCCAGAGCAGAGACTGGGCCCAGGTTCCAGTGTGCGGCTCCGTGGAGTCAGTGGGTGGGCAGGTAGATCCCGGAAGTCAAAGCCAGTGTGGCCGCTGCAAACAGCAGCCTTGGCAGCCAGTTCAGCAAGAAGAGGCTGGGTCTGGTTCCATCCTGCAGCAAGCACTGGCCATCACCCTGCAGGCCCAGCCCCGTGCTGGCTCCTGGGGAGAGCATGGCTGAGACATGGCCTTGGATCTGGAGCTCACAATTCCAATGTGTGGGAGTGTGTGTGCTGGGGAGAGTGCTGGGCCTTTGCCTGGGAATTTTTGTGCTTCCTTTGGAAGGAGCACAGGGAGGTGGGAATGAGGCCAGAGGTGCCATGCTCTGCCCAGGGTCACACAGCAGCTCCTAAGGGACAGAGCCCGGGTCGGATGCCAGGGCCTGTGACTCCAAGGCCTGGGCTCTTAGCCAGCCCTCTGAGAGGGTGCTGACCCAATGCATGGGGTGGGGTGCATTTAGCCCAGGTGTTCCCAGCTGCAAGCATGATGCCTGGAGCAGAGTAGATGCTCCGGTAGGGGAGGCTGCATGGTGGTGAGGTTTTGAGGGGTAAGTAGGCGTTTTCCCACTTACGGGAAGGGCATCCCAAGCCAAGGAGTGGCATGCCCCTTTGGGGAGTGCGTTGATGCCTAAGGTGTTGGCCTGGAGACCTCCCTCACCGGAGCTCTCCCCGCCCCACCCCTCCCTAGGTCCAGATCCTGCACCTGCTGCTCTGCCGCTCCTTCCAGCTTGCTTACCTCTCGCAGCACCCTGCAGAGCGGGCACAGCCTGAGCCCTGCCCGGGGCCCACAGGGGATGTGCCCCTGAAGCCACTGGCCAGCCCTGGGAGGCCCCCTGGCCTAGTCCGGGAGCCCTTCGTCCGTGATCAGCTCTCACAGAACGTGCGTGCACTGGTCTCCTTCCGGCGGCTGTCAGCAGAGGGGCCCATGGGCAGTGGGGTATGCAGCCCCCCAGCCCCAGCCAGGGAGTGGGCAGGGAACTGGGTGAGGTTTTGGCATCACATGGAGGTGGTTGCTGGACTTCAGAGGGAGGGCTCGCCTGATCTGACGTGCTAGACCTGATCTGCCAACCCCGCTGGGCCCTCTTGGTACCCTAGAAGGAGCTGCTGGAGTTGGAAGGCTGTGGGAGTGCCCGCCATTCCCGCCTGGGGAATCCCTACTGCTCCCCGACCCTGGTGCGCAAGAAGGCCATCCGCAGCAAGGTGATCCGCTCCGGGGCCTACCGCGGCTGCACCTACGAGACCCAGCTGCAGCTGTCGGCCCGGGAGGCCTGTGAGTAGCAGAGCACGCCTGCCCCGTGCGTACCTGGGGCGCGGCCTGTGCACCTGTGTGAGTCGGAGGGAGTGGGCCCCAAAGTCTCTCTGCCAGGCCTTGCCGGCGCCTCCGAGCAGAGGCTGTGCTGTGAGTGACTGTGTGTCGTGCCCACGTGAGTGCATCCGCATCCGAGTGCCGGGGCTGGCAGCGGTGATGGTGTGGCTGTGGATGTGCTGAGCTGGTGTGGGCTGTGCTTGTGTGCAGATGTGTCTTTTGGAGGCTGGATGTGTGGCTGCTGGTGAGGAGGGGTCATAGGGCCTGTAGGGGTGAGGTGGGCTGGGTTAGGACGAATCAGTCTCTCCCTCTGACTTCTGGATGGTCTCCATAGTTCCTGGCGCGTGGGAGGCGTGGCCGCAAGGTCCTGGCGGCCCCACGAGCCTGGTGGAAAGTGAGGGCAGCCTGACCGAGAACATCTGGGCCTTTGCTGGCATCTCCAGGTAGGAGGGGCCTGGCCTGGCTGAATGCCCAGCCCCTTGGGGTGAGCAGAGAAATTGGCTGTGGGCGCCCCCTGCCCCTCAGGGCCCTGCCATGTAGGTGCATATTCCTGTGCAAGGGCAGGGCGTTCCTGATCTCGGGCCAGAGTCTCCAGCATCTTGGGCCTCAGTTTCTCAGCTTTAAAGAGGGGACAACAACAGGACCTTCGTGGCCGGGCTGTGGGAGGATCAAGTGAGGTCATTCCAAGGAGGAAAGACCTCAGCACCAGACGACAGCTCCCTCAGTGTCAGGTCTTTGAAATGCTCTTGAAATTGTCAGTTAAGGGCGCCCTAGAAACCTTCTGAAAGGAAGGCTAAAAGCTCCCTGTCCTGGAGGCCCTGTTCTCGGACAGGTACCTTGTTTAAGATGGTTTGGGCCCAGCCAGCGTGGCTCAGTGGTTGAGCGCCGACCTGTGTATGAATCAGGTCACAGGGCATATGTCTGGGTTGCGGGCTCTGTCTCCCATTGTGGGATGTGCAGGAGGCAGCCCATCAATGATTCTCTCTCCCTCTCCCTTCCTCCTTGAAATCAACAACAACAACAACAAATATATGTATTTTAAAAGATGCTCTGGGGCTGATACACCATTGCCTGGGAGCAGCCTGAAACAGTGCAGACTAGAGGTCCCACCCTCAGCCTCTCCCTCTGCCATCAGGCCCAGTGCCCTCGTCCTGCTCCGGAGAGACGTGCTTGGGGCCTTCCTGCTGTGGCCCGAGCCGGGCGCCTGCGGCCAGTGGTGCCTGTCCGTGCGGACACAGTGTGGCGTGGTGCCCCACCAAGTCTTCCGGAACCACCTGGGCCGCTACAGCGTGGAGGTAGAGTGCGGGCAGTCAGCCCCCCACGCGCCCTCAGGCCCCTCACCCTCCTTCTGGTCCCCCTGGGCTCTCTCTGGCCCCATCCCTTCTTTACCTCCACCGAGCTCCTTAGTCATAGTCCCTGCTGCCCCCGCCCCACTGGCCCACTCAACCCCACCTCTACCTCTGGGCTCGCCCTCGCCCCTCTCTAGAGGCCTTGGGGGGTCCCACTAGCAGAGTCTGGGGCTAGTGCCATGTTTCACATTCTATGGGAATCCCGGCTTTCAAGTCTGCTTTCCCACACCCTAACCATCTCTTAGCAGAGGAGGAAGCTGACTCAGGGTAGGGGCCTCCTTAGGCTCAGACAGCCTCTGAGTCTCCAGGTCTGGAGTCTTGGATGATCACAGGTTTCCAGGCCTTTTTAGATGTGCACCCTTCCCTCCATGCTAAGTGCCTCCGGCCCGGCCAGGCTGGGAGGAGAGAGAGAGGAAATGGTGCCCGGCTGTGCTGTGAGCAGGACGGTGACCTCCCTGAGCTCGAACTTCCTCCTCTCTGAGTGGGGCAGGATCCCAGGCGAGGGAGTGGTTGGTGCCCGGCACCAGCCATGGGGCAGGGGGAGCTGGGACTGAAGCCCCTCCCTCCCCCAGCACCTGCCCGCCGAGTTCCCCAGCCTGGAGGCCCTGGTGGAGCACCATGCGGGGACTGCACGCAGCCTCTTCTGCTCGCTCGACATGGGCCGCCTGAACCCCGGCTACGAGGAGCAGGACTGTGGGCCCGAGAGCAGGCCTCCCCGGACGCTCCGGCCCCTTGGCCACGCCAAGTCCGAGGCAGAACTGCAGGGCCTGGGCTAGGAGGCCGGGCCCCACACCAACAGACCTGGCCTCCCCCGGGTCCCTGGGCCTCAGCAGGCCACCCTGCCCTTCTTCCACCCCCCTGGTCAGTTCCATCCAGTCACTCAGCCCCTTGGACCAGCCTTCCACCACTTCACTGACTGTGGCGGAGCCCTGAGATTGGGGATTCTCCCTCGACATGTGGCCCCTTGAGACTGCAGGGCGGGTAGCAGATCTCCAGGCTTCCGTGAACTTGCTGGGTGGCTTGGGGGCTTGTCCTCTGGGCTTCACGGGAGCAGGAAGAGTTAGTCCCAGTGGAGGGGTAGCCTCTCCTTAGGAGGCCAGGCTCCGGGGCCCTGACTGGGAGTCTCCGGAGAGCTCGACAGGCAGCCAGACACGGAGGGTGAGGTGCCTGGGGAGGCGGGAGGAGTGAGGTTTCACTTTGGGCAAAGGCCTGGGAGAGCCGCTCTCTCATGAGAGACACAGAGATGACTCAGTGGAGCCCGTGGGCCACGTCCTGGCTGCCTGTTTCTCAAGTCATCTGAGGTAAGGGAGTCTTCCCTGGAGTTCTGAGGAGCAGGGGTAGGAGGGCAGAAAGGCCAGGGTGGAGGAAGAGCCACACCACCCAAAGCCCATGCGCGGGGTGGACACCTGTGTGCAGAGAGGGACGCGAGCCATCGGGGCAAAGAATCCCCGTGCAGCGCTTGGGAAGCCGGCTTGTCTGTACTCAGAACCACAGGGTGGGGATCCCGCTCCGGGGAAGGGTTGCCCAGCCTCTTCCACTCCCCATGACACACACACGGTGCATTTCCTTTTGCCGCTTGACTGAGAGGGGATAGCAGTGAGCCACGGGCTTAGAGGGTTGACCAGAGTCCCGCTCAGCCTGCAGGCTGCAGCAGGTTTGGTGGCTGCCTTCGAAGTCACCTGATGAGGGGATTGCCCTTAGTGTGGCGCTGACCGTGCTGTCGGGAGCCGCCGTGCCCCCCTTAGGCTAGTTCCACTGGGGAGGGGGTCAGAGGAGAGCCATCCACAGTTAGAACTGATGTGGGCTCTGCCAGGGGGGCTTGGCCTCAATGGACAGAGCAAGTCACGGACATGACTGTAGTCTGCGGGACTGATCCCGTGCTGACGGGCAGGTATCCCCCTTTATTGGTACACTTGACAGACACTAATTACCAAGCGAGGGAGGAAGCTCACTGTGGGTGAACTTCTATTTCTAAGGCAGAGGCCTGGCCATGAATCTGGGGCTGCCCTCTCCCTCTCCTGGGAGTTGGATGTGACTGTTCGGTGCCTTGAAAGTAACAAGATTCTGACTCCTCCCATGAATAGCAGCCCCACAGAAGAGAAATGGAGGGAGGGTTCTGGGGAGCTGGTGCTCCCAGCTTACAATCCCGCTGCCAGGAGGGTCTTGGCGAGGGACCTTGTCGTTATTGTCAGAAGAGATAGGAGGAAGCTGCCCTTGGGGGCTCATCTCACTGGAACTACAGCGCTGATTCTGTACTGAACGTGAACGGGAACCCGGAATTCCCTGTGCAGCCATTGTTACCTGAACCCATCTCCCTGGGCAAAGCCCTGGTCCCTAGTGGGAGTACCCAGCCCTACATTTCCCTGGCAAGGAGAGGGGTTTGCTGACACAGGGCCCAGGATGAGAGCACTGGAGTCGCACATGTAAGAGCTGATAACCGGCCCAGCTTAGGCCAGAGCTTTGCCTCTGTGATGGATGTGTTTTGTGCAAATTATCCATGTGGATACGGTGTCGGGTGCTCCCAAAGCACTTTAACATTCCTTTTCACAGCATTTATTGTTCACGTGGCACAAATAGGGCAAGGTTTTTGACCGTGTGTGCAAACACGTCAATGTCTTAATCATAGATCAGTTTTCTCTCTTTTCCAACCAGCACCACCTGGGTAGCCCAGCTCTCTTGACTGTATGTACTTGAAATAAAACGCATTCCTTCGGATTGTCCAGTACCGACTTTTCCTTTGAAAGGTGATGTCTCTGTTCGGTTTTCCTGTTTTGTTTTTGTTTGCCAACGTACCTTCAGATGGTGCTGACCAGCAGAGTGACAGGTCTTGTTCTCAGAGGCAGAGGGTGTCCCGAAGGAATCGGATCAGTATTTTCAAATCCTCTCTCTCCTGCTTAAAGTCTTCAGCGGTTATTTCCTGTGGGAAAAAGACTCAAGTCCTGTGCTCTGGCAACTTGGGCTTTCCTTCTGCTCCTGCAGCACGCCACAGGACCTTTGCACGGCCCGGACAGGTCTTGTCCTCCCTGCCTTTTGCCTGGTTAACTCAACCTTAGCATCTCAGCTCCTGTCACTCTCGGGAAGCCTGCGGGGGAGAGGTGCGGGTAAGGTTCCCCTGTTGGATGTTCCACCGAACCGGCCCTTTAGTTTGTAATGACTAGTTCATTGATGGGGTTTTTGTATGTGGGAGATTTGTTTTTGATGTCAGTCTCCCCCACTCAATTAGACTATGGGCGCCAGGAGGGCAGGGATTGGGCTGTCTCCCAGCGCCTACTAGATGCCTGGCAGGTAGCTGACTATTTCTGTGCAGAGTGGAGCCTAGAGGCGGCTGTTCTGGCTGGAGGGACGTGTGCTGAGCTGGGAGACAGGCCAGGCAGGCAGCCTCTACAGCTAAAAAGACCTTGGCTCTCAGAGTGTTTTGTTTATTCATCTTGAGGCTTAGAAAAAACGAGGGCGGCATTGGAAGGACAATTTGCCTTGTTCCGGGGACTCTTAGTCAGGGATGTGAGAAAAGCAAAGCCCTCGTTGCCTGTCTCAGTAGGTCTCTGACCCCGCGAGAGGCCCCTCCTCTTGGACCTCTCAGCGGTGGCGTCAGGCCTGGCCTCCCCGCTTAGCTGGGCAACCTCGGGCCAGTGGCTTCACCTCTGCCCCGGGGCTGCATCGGGGAAGGGAGCGGGCAGGCAGCCCCCGCGGGCAGGCTTCGAGCCGGGGCTACACCTGTCCACACTCGGGCGGCGGCGGAGCGCGGGCTGCGCGTGGACGTTCCCGCGGGCCGCCACCTGTGACGCCACGCGCGTTGCTATGCAACCGCGAACGCCGCGGTAGCCTGAGGGCAAGCGGACGGCTGGGAGCTTGGGTCCTGCGGCGCCTGCAGCGCGGATCCCCCACTTCCCCGCCAGGGCCCGGCCTCGGGGATAGACGAGCCCGGCCGCGGAAGGAGGCAGCGGCCCCGGCTCCGGCCTGCGACTCACTCGGAGGCCCCGCGAGGCGTCCAGTCCTCCCTCCGCAGCCCCGACCCCTCCACGAGGACCCGCCCCTGTGCCGGCCCTGCCCCCTGCGCCCGGCTCTCGCCGCGTCCCCGCTCCAGGCGGCCAGGGGTCCCCTGCCGGCGGTTGTCTGTCCCGACCGCGTAGTCCGGGTCGGCCCGCGCCCGGGGGAGCCCTGCGGGGGCGCGATGGCCTCGGAGTCGGTGAAGGTGGTGGTGCGCTGCCGCCCCATGAACCAGCGGGAGCGGGAGCTGAACTGCCAGCCGGTGGTGACGGTGGACTCGGCGCGCGGCCAGTGCTTCATCCAGAACCCCAGCGCCACCGACGAGCCGCCCAAGCAGTTCACCTTCGACGGCGCCTACTTCATGGACCACTTCACGGAGCAGATCTACAACGAGATCGCCTACCCGCTGGTGGAGGTGAGCGCGCCGGGAGGCCGCCTCCGAGGACCGGCTGGGCAGGACTTGGGCCGCCCTGAGGGGTCCCGAGGGACGGCACTGCCCCCAGGCCGCCGGAGGCCCCCTGGACACCAGCAGGTTGGTCTGAAGACCTCTGCGGGCAGGAGAGCAGGAACCCGCCCACCAGGTCTGTGCCCAGGTCTCCAGTGCGCCCAGTGCTGAGGCTGCCCGCATCCCCACCCCTGCAGCCCCTCTCCCACCGGAACTCCAGCCTGCCGGACCGCCTGCCCCCACCCTCGCCTGTGAGCTTCAGGGCTTCTCTAAACGCTCCAGCCACTTTCTCCAGCTTCCTTCTCCTTCTCCCTTCCCCTCCCCATCCCTCTGCTTTCTCCCTCTCAGCATTCAGAGCCCTCTCTTAATCCTATGGGGGAGGGAGGACGATCTCACCAGTTCCTGCTTCTGCTCCTTTGAGCTTCATAGCAGGGAGGGGCACTCACATTTCACAGGTGGGGAAACTGAGCTGGGCCCCCACAGGGAGTCTGATAGAGGTGGGGCTGGATCTGCACCTGCTGTCCGCGGGGAAGGGCTCCCCACCTGCCAGTGCATCACTAGTTGAGATGGGACAGGTGGCTCCAGGTAAAGAGGGGAAGTTTGGGAAATGCTTTGTACACGCTCCCTCGCTTGAAGAAACCACTATAACTTCTTTAACCCAGTGTTTCCAAAATAGATGTGACCACGGAACCTTTTTTGTTTTGGACGGCAGGCCATTAAACATCCCCAGAACACCAGTTTTGGCTGCGCCAAGATATCTTCCCCAAGATAGTCAGAACCCTGGAACGGCTGCAGTGTTCTGAAGCCCAGAGCGCCCCAGTGGCCAGGCCCTGCCCCAGGACGGTGCCCAGAGGACGAGGGCCGCTCTCCCGGGGTGGCCCCAGTCTCTGGGGATGGCAGGCTGTTCCTCTCTGTCCTGGATTTCCAGGCTGAAGGGACCTGAGGGGTCATCTCGTCCAGTCTTCTCCCCATCGGGTCCTTGTCCTTGGATGTCCACCCAGTGGAAGGGGCTCACTTTTCCCAAAGCTTCCCAAAGTCCCCCCTTGGCTGCTTGGCTCCTAGAAGACCATCGTACACTAGAGCACATCTCAGTTCAGATGCGCGAGTGTCCCCGGTAAAAATGAAATGAAGCACACTGAACTGTGTTTAGTGGGAAAATATTTTACGCTGCTTCCATTTTTAAGTGTAAATTAACTAAAATAAAATAAATGCAGTATCTCATTTGCCCCAGGCATGTACTAGCGTGGCTGGTAGCTACCCCCCTGGATGGTGCAGGGGTATTTATGTTTACGTGGACTCTTGTCTGGGTTTGGGTGACGTTGATACTCTGGGCGCTGCACCATGTTCCTGGGACTTCGTGTGCCCCTGGCTCTGAGGAGCCTGGCTGTGGCCCCGGTTGGGTGATGGGTCTGCACAGCCTCACCCCTCCGCAAGGGACCCGTGCCCGTGTGCAGCCTACCCAGTGGTCAGGGTTTCCTCAGATAAGGGAGAGGTGACAGTGTCCAATTCTGCCCATGAAAATGAGGCCTCCCTCCAAGGAACTGTGAACAGTGGCCCGTCTTCCTTCCCCAGCAGTCCCCTGAGACCAGGGCCCCATGCGGTCTACGGGGTGGGCCTTTGCAGTGGAAGCAGGCAGAGATCCACGTGGGCCCTTGGGGTCCAGGAGCAGCTCTCTGGCCCAGGTTCTGACACTGGGCTCCCCCCTCCTCACACGAGGTTCTAGAATTTGTGTCCTTATGTGCCAGGGCGGGGACTGGGTGTCCGCCTGATTCATTGCTCTGTCCCCTGCCAGAGCATGGTGCCTGGCACAGGGAAGGAATAAGTGCATCTGAACGAAGAATGACCTCAGGGTGCCACCCGTTTGCCCTACCTTCCTTCTCAGCTTCTTCTTCCATCTCCCTCACCCCAGCCTCCCTCCTCTCTGTCTTCACTCAACCTGTCCCCTCAGCCTGGAATGCCTTCCTCTTCTGTCACCTGTCAAAATCCAAGCCTCCCCTTGAGTTCCCCCAGATCCACTTACCCAGGAGGCTGTGCCTGGATCTCCCCACACCATCCTGTCCCCTCCCCCACACTCCCTCTCCTTGCCCAGGGCTTGAACTCCCCACATCACACTTGCCTCCTCTTGCCTTGTATGGGAGTCACTCCCCCACGATCCAGGCGGACATTTAGTGAGCACCTCTGTACCCCAGCACCCCACTGCCAGTGCCTGCAGTACTTCTCGGGTAAACCTCACGCAGCCTTGGAGGAGGTGCTGTTCCGACCCTTCATTTCAGAGGAGGAAACTGAGGCTCAACGTGCCTGCGTACCAACAGGCCAGGGGCACACAGTCACTAGAGGGTGGAGCCCGATTTGAACCCAGGTGGCTAGCCTCCAGGGCACAAGCTCTTAACCACACACAGAGGGACAGTCTCCTACCCCAGCAGGCACTGAGCTTGAGGACAGAGCTGTGCCTCATTCATGTCTACCTGCCCACCCCCAGCCCAGGGACATCGAGGTGGGAGGCCCAGGAGGGGTCCCGGGTCAGCCGCTCAGACCTGGCCCTGGCCCTGGCCCTCCGCCAGGCCGTGCTGGGCCTGCTGAGCACCGGGTTTTGGTCCTCCCACGCAGGGTGTCACTGAGGGCTACAACGGCACCATCTTTGCCTATGGCCAGACGGGCAGCGGGAAGTCCTTCACCATGCAGGGCCTGCCCAACCCACCCACCCAGAGAGGCATCATCCCCAGGGCCTTCGAGCACGTTTTTGAGAGTGTGCAGGTACGGCCTCGGGAGGGCAGGGGCAGGGGAGGGCTGGTGCCCGGGGCCGTGGGGTCCCAGAGCACTTCTGACTCTGGGATGAATCAGAGCCTCTATAGCACGGATGAGCGGAGGCAGGCTCTGGTTTTCTGAACGTGATGGGAGAACTTAAAACTGAGACATGACACCTCGCATGTTTTTCTCTTGCCATTTTCGGATTTTTTAAAAAAATTGATTTTAGAGAGAAGGGAGAGGAATAGAGAGAAACATCGATGTGAGAGAGGAACATCCATTGACTGCCTCCTGCATGCCCCCTACTGGGGACCGAGCCCACAACTTGAGCACGTGTCCTTGACCGGGATCAAACCTGGGACCCTTCAGTCTGCAGCCTGACGCTCTATCTACTGAGCCAGACCGGCTAGGGCCAGCTTTCCATTCTATTGAGCAGTTGCTACAGACCAAGCCTTGTGCAAAGCCCTTTATTAACCCACTGAACCCCCACCCTGGCCCAGCAGTAACCATCACCCCCATTTTCAAGAACGGGAAGCTGAGACTTGGAGCCCCTAAGGGCTGGGTCAAAACCAGTCATCCCAGCCCTAGCTGGTTTGGCTCAGTGGATAGAGCGTCAGCCTGCCGACTGAAGGGTCCCAGGTTCGATTCTGGTCAAGGGCACATGCCCAGGTTACAGGCTCGATCCCCAGTAGGGAATGTGCAGGAGGCAGAAGATCAATGATTCTTTCTCATGATTTGTTGATGTTTCTATCTCTCCCTCTCCCTTCATCTCTGGAATATTAAAAAAACAAAACAAACAAACAAAAAAAACAGTCATCCCAGTGTGTGGGCTGCAGGTGAGAAGTTCAGGTGACATTTGTGGCAATGCACAGAGATTCCTGCATCTGGGGAATGGCAACGTGTGGACAGGGACCCTGGTCAGCTGCAGAGCCCACTATACCTGCACCCGGGACTCATCTGGTGAGAGGGCTGCCGGGGATCAGCCCAGGCCCAGTGCTTGGTCCAGGCCTTACCCGTGGCCTCAGTTTCTCTACCTGAACAATGGGAGGCCTCTCCCATTTCTTTGAGGCCTGTAGAGAGAGCCTTAGACAACAGCAATATGAGGATGATGCGACGCTGTGAAGCCTGACCTTCCCCATCCCCTCCCCGCCCCACATCGCCCGTGATGTCTGGCTGCAGGGGCTCAGGTTGCAGGGCCAAGGGAGGCAGCAGAGGCTCAGGTGTCTGTCTTTGCTCTCTGTCCGCTCCCTGCAGTGTGCGGAGAACACCAAGTTCCTGGTCCGGGCCTCCTACCTGGAGATCTACAACGAAGATGTCCGTGATCTCCTCGGGGCTGACACCAAGCAGAAGCTGGAGGTGGGTGCAGACCTGGCACGGGCAGGTGGGGGCTGGTGGAGAGGGGAGGTTGGCATCAGGTGGTGGTGGGCCCTCAGCATGCACAGGTGCTAGTTCAGACGACAGTGAGGGCTTGTGACCCACAAGGTGGTTATGAGGTTCAAGTGGGTAACGAGGGCGCGCTGCTTAGCAGAGCTGGCGTATGGCAGGTGTTCCGTGTATGAGCAATTCCATGCCATTGCAATTCCCAGAGGAAGGTGGGTGTGACTGGCGGCCACACAGTGGAAGCCCAGGGAGGAGGAGTCAGGACAGTCATGTGTTTTGAACATGGTCCTCAGTCTCCTAAAAGGCGATAACCGGAATGAAAGAACATTCTTTCCCAGCACGTGAAGCCAAATTAGATGCTTCGAGGGTTCTATCAAGATGACAGAACTGCCCTGGCCAGTTTGGCTCAGTGGATAGAGCATCGGTCTGAGGACTGAGGGTCCCGGGTTCAATTCCGGTCAAGGGCACTTACCTTGGTTGCTGGCTGGATCCCAGGCCTTTGTCGGGGCCATGCAGGAGGCAACCAATGGATGTACGTCTCTCCTCTGCCCTCCCACTCTCTCTAAAAATCAATGGAAAAGTATCCTCAAGTGAGGATTAACAACAATGACAAAAGGAACCTTGCAAGATGACAGAACTGATCCTCTGGGGAGCCGGCGAGGTCAGGTGACCCAGCAGGACTGCACAGTTGGTGGCCAGGCTTGATCGGCCGGGAGCCTTGGGCCTTCGCTTTGGCGAGAGGCTTTGGTCATGTGTCCTCTCTGGGACTCTTTAACTCTGAGTGGGCCTGGGCAGGTCCAAGGAGGAGAGGCCAGTGTGGGGAGGTGCTGGTGGCTGCCCCCCAAGTCCGGTGCTTCTTATCTGACCAAGCAACCAATGGGGTCCAAAAGGCCCACCCCCAGCGTCGGGGATCAGGGGTCGTCCCACCTCCCTCAGAGGCAGAATGTCCGCGTTGGGGGAGTGCCAGTCATTAATGAGCATCAGGCCTGGGAGGTTGCTATGGAGATTCCCATTTTTCAAGCGAGGAAACTGGGCTGGAAAAGAGGGTCACTCGGGTCCCTGCGTAGGAAGTGGCAGAGTCAGGGTGGGACATTTTCCATGACCCAAACGGCGTCAGTCTCTCCAGGCCACGTGCCTCGACAGCCATGGGGGCGAGCAGAGCCCTCCCCACCCTCCGGACCCTGCCTGTCCCCTCGTGGCACAGGACACGGGAACCACCCATGTGGGGCAGCGTGTTTCTCTGCTCGGCCCCAGAGCCTTCTACATGCCTCCTGACCCCCCACTTGCCCTGGCTTCATTTCCGGGGCTGTGAGTTCCTCTCCGACAGGTGGCCACTCCATGGCCCCGCGGAAGTCAGGCTGGGGAGCAGCTGTCGGGGTAAACTTGCTCGTACCTGTCACGCCATGGAAACGTCCCACGTATCTGAGCCGGAAGGACCCTGAGAGATCTAGTCAGCCTGTCCTGGTACAGATGAGAAAACCGAGTCCCAAGGAGAGGCAGGGGCTTGGCCCAGGTCTCAGCCAACTACTTGTTGTACCTGAACTTGTGGGATGTGCGTGGTCGGGTGCTTTCCTTCCAGTGTTTTGGGGTCAGTGATATAGGAAGCCCCTGGGGCAATAAGAAGCCAGGAATTAGGTTCTAGTGAGGGAGGGACATGTGATTCATTCAATAAAACCTTACTGGGTCCCGGGTGCCGGGTGCCAGGCCCCACGCCCCGAGCTGCAGCAGGTCCACACAGGCATGTACTCCCTCCCTCCCTGCCAGTCCCCGTCCAGACCAGGACCCACCCAGCCCCTCCTTCTCCGCTCCTCCAAACACAGCAGTGCGTTGCCCTTTCTGTGCAGGAGCTCCAGCCGCCCACCCGGAGTCTTTTACTGTCTTTTCTATCCTGCCCACCCGGAGTCTTTTACTGTCTTTTCTATCCTGGGCTCGAGCTGCTGAGTCACACCTCAGCCCCCAGACAGGGAAGTGGGGGAGAAAGCAGCACAGGGAGTTGCTCCCACTGCTCAGCCCTGAAAGGCCCGCCCTGGGCCTGGGCAGCAGGGGGCCCTCCTCCCCTTCCTGGGACCCTGGCCCCTAGACAGGCCTGAGGGGCAAGGGCTGGCAGCTACATGCACTTGCTCAGCTGGGCCAGGGGCCTCAGGCTTGGGGAGCTGGGCTCCGGGGGGGCCGCCAGGGACAGATGCGCTCCAGGACACTCCCCAGGGTGCTCTGAGCTTTGACCTGGAGCCTCGCAGAGAAGGCACAGAGGGGTCCTCATGTAACCTCACAACAGCCTTCGGAGGAGGGGCTGCTCGTGTCCTTTATCACAGACGGGGAAACTGAGGCTTGGGTGCCTGGGTAAGAGCAGCCACAGGCACATCAGTAAAGGGTGGGGACCGGATACGAACACGGGTGGTCAGGCTCCACCGCACAGCGCGGGGCCGATCATTTTGGTAATTGGGTTATTAGATCAGCGAGGGCCAGCAAGAGATTTTGGGGAGCAGAGTTCTACCTCCTCCTCCCCAAACCATGAACTATCGCGGCACTGGGCGGAGGAGGTTGGCCTCGGGGGCCCTCCGTCAGGTCCTGTACTCCGTGTCCCGGCAGTGTCAGGACCTTTCCCCGTGGAAGTGTTTCCTGGCTCCAGATCTGTGGTTGACATATCCTGCCTGTGCACCAGGCCCAGCCATGCCACATCCCAGCTGGTTGTCATGGCGACTGGGCAGCGCTGCAGCTGTGGAGCAGTTACCAAGGAGCAGGGCCCAGCTGGTGGCTGTCACTTAGCGCCCCCCCAGCTCTGTGGCGGGCGGGGCAGGAACATCAGGGGAGGGATGGGGGAGCCCGGGATCAGGAGGTGGGGGAACAAGCCTTCCTGGGTCTAAACACGGGGTGGGGTGACCCCTCCGGGAGGGGGTGCCTCCCTGCCCCCTTTTCTGCTCGTGAGAGACAGTGTCCTCACCTCTTCATGACCTGTGCTCACTCAGCCCCGCCAAGTTCCCAGAGAACTTGTTATTAGCTCCATCCTCTTCTTAATCCTCCTAATAGTCAGGCAGAAATGGGATTTATTATCCTCATTTTACAGAGGAGGGACCAAGGCCAAGAGAGGCAAAGTGATGTCCCCAACTAGATGCAGGTTTCCATCCCAGGCTGACTCAATAGGAGCTGCCTTCTCCCTGAAGCCTCGAGCAGCCTCTCACCTAGACCTACTATGTGCCAGGCATCCTTCTAGGTTCTTCCAGGGAGCGTGACAGTGCTCAAAAAAGGCCACTCTCGGCTCTCTGGCACACAGGTGGGCGTGAAGGAAGCCGCCAGGTGCTGCCGGGGCCTCCCGCTGGCTTCATGCAGGCTCTGTGTGCGGGGTCTTCCCCTCCTGTCCCACAGCCGCCTCCTAGGCCAAGGTCAGCCCGTGTCATTTCAAGCTGCAGTTACTGCAGGATGCCTCAGCCTCTCTCCAGGACGCCCCTTTGGGCTCTTCCACTGTCTGTCACCCCATTGGCGGCTGCACACCCTAATGGCTGTGTGACCTTCAGCAAGCCACTGCCCCCCTCTGTGCCTCGCTGTTTCTCCACACTCCGCAGGTCGGCAAGGCTGCACTTGCCCCCACCCGAGGGTGCAGCAGGTCCCAGCGCCCCCTGGGACCGTGAAGCTGCCCGCAGCAAAGCCTCTGAGCCATCGGTGGCTCAGACCGGCAGACGGGCGACTTTTGTCCTAGTTCACTCTGCTCTCGTCAGAGCGGTTTTGTTTCTTCTCACACTTGAGAAATATTGCGTTTCACAGCTCTGTGTCAGCAACAAAACAACCTGGCTGCCTGGACTGCCAGCAGGGAGCAGTCGGAGAAATTAATTTACTCACTGCCGTCGCGCGGAGAGCCACTTGAGCTGCGGGCCAACGGGGGTTCTGGCAGCAAATGGCACTTCGCCGTCAGGATCCAAGGCTGTGGGAACATTCCTGTTGCCTCGGCGCCGTGGCAGAGGGGCACAGAGCCACGTGGATGGGGCAGAGGAGGAGCACTGAGAGCCCTGGGGTGACTCAGTGCCGGCCCTGGGAGCTAGTGCTCCCAGACTGAAAACCTTCACAACAATAGCACTAGCAGCAGCAGGGAGGATGGTGGCGGACGCTTATGGGACACTTGCCGTGTGCCAGGCACCGTGCCAAGCGTTGTATGGGCTTTAGTTTGCTGAATCCTCACCATCTCCCTAGGAGAGCGGTATCTCATACCCATTTTACAGATGCGGAAACTGAGGCTTAGAGAGGTTAAGGCACTGGCTCAAGGTCCCATAAGTAAGAGGCAGGGGTGGGTTTGAGGCTGGCTCCACCTGCAGCAAACCCTCTGGCTAATAGGGTATTTGAGGTGCTAATCGGGCTTCAGGAGGACAAAGGGGGTCTGAATGGGGCCCTTCCCTCCGGGGTCCCGGGCCCCGCCCGCCTCTGACCCGTGCCTCCCGCCACAGCTGAAGGAGCACCCGGAGAAGGGAGTGTACGTGAAGGGGCTCTCCATGCACACGGTGCACAGCGTGGCCCAGTGCGAGCGCATCATGGAGAGGGGCTGGAAGAACCGCTCCGTCGGCTACACCCTGATGAACAAGGACTCCTCCCGCTCCCACTCCATCTTCACCATCAGCATCGAGATCTACGCTGTGGGTATGTGCAGCGGAGAGGGTGGAGGGGCCGGGGACCTGAGCTCGAGTCGCCAAGACTCTTCACCTCTAGGCCCCCCCACACACACTGGGAAGGATGCTCAAACTGCTGGAGGGAGCACTGGGGCCCCTCCCGCGCTAGGACCCCTGCTTCCGGATGAACGGCAGCATCAGCAACAGTCATAGTCCCGGCGGCTGCGCATGACTGCCCGCCGTGCGCTCTGAGTGCGTGTCTGTGGCCGTGGGTGGGGCTGCCGGAAAGTGCGTTGCTCGTGGCCGCTTCCCGCCCGTCCTCCGCCAGGCGTGCGCACTTTCCAGGCCTTCAGTCCACGTGATGCCGTCGGGAACCCTCTGTGCACCAGGCATCTGTTCCTAGACCGTTCGCTCAGATTGGGTTCCTCGGGGTAGACCTGGAGCGGAGGGCACGCACCTGCCTAAGGCTCCGGTGCGTCCTGCAAAGAGCTCTCCGAAAGGGTGGTTCCAAGTTCCTCCTCCCTGCTCAGGCCTCTTCTCTTCCCCCCCCCTTCCCCTCCTCCCCCCCCCCTCCTCCTCCCCCTCCTCCTCCCCCTCCCCCTCCTCCCCTCCTCCCCCTCCCCCTCCTCCCCCTCCTCCTCCTCCCCTCCTCCTCCTCCTCTTCTCCCCCTCCTCCTCCTCCTCTTCCTCCCCCTCCCCCTCCTCCCCCTCCTCCTCCTCCCCCTCCTCCTCCTCCTCCTCCTCCCCCTCCCCCTCCTCCTCCTCCTCCCCCTCCCCCTCCTCCTGTAATAGCACCTCCCGTGTCCAAGCCTCTCCTGAGCACCAGCTAAACCTTTGCTTTCTTTACTTCAGGTCCCTGTGCCTATGGGCAAAACTAGGCCAATTCTGGTTTGAACCGGCAGGAAACTAAGGAGGAAGCCCCTGCCCCCGCCCCCCACCCCCTCTCATCTCATGTGGAACCATGTATGGTGTCGTCTGCAGACAAAAAAGAATTATTAGCAGTAGTAAGAGCAACAGCCACCGATTAATGAGCGCTTGCGAAGTGCCAGGCACAGCCCGAGCCCCCCCCCCCCGCCCCCCCCAGGTGCTGCTGGTGCAGGCCTCCCTCCCAGCACCCCGGGGCCTTTGGTTCCCACTCTACAGAGAGGAAGGCTGAGGCTCGGGGGCAAGGGAAGTTTCCCCCCCAAGTTTCACAGCCACTGAGGGACGGAGTCAAGCTGGAACCCCCACGGGTCTGAGTCCTCAACGTCTGTGCTCCGAGCCCCGGCTGCCGACCGGAGGGCAGGCGGGGTCTGTTCCGCGGGCACAGCCGCCAGTCGCTGCGGAACTGGCTTGTCCTGGGAGGCTCGGGCTCCGCGCCCGGCCTGCAGGGACCCTGGAAAACGTGCTGTGGGTTTACTTCACGCCCCCCCAGCAGCCAGCGTGTGGGGAGCTCTGCTCAGTCTCATTGTGTGGAGAGAACTGAGGCTCAGAGAGGCGCCTGGCTCTGCCGGGGTCACACAGCAAGTGGGATGGGAACAGGTCCGAGAGTCTCCAGAGCCAGTGCTTCTGCCTTAAGAATACAACTCCCTGGTCACCCAGTCTCCCTCTCTCTCCCTCTCTCTCCCTCCCTCCCCCTCTCTCTCTCTCTCTCTCTCTCTCTCTCTCTCTCTCTCTCACACACACACACACACACACACACACACACACACACACACCTTTGGCCTCACAGGCATCTGTAGGAGCTGCTGTGATAGCCATAGACGTCTGCTGCTCTCAGAGAATAGTCTACCTCCCAGCCCCTGCTTCCTGGAGTCAGACAGCCCTGGGGGCTGATCCGGGCCCCACCCCTTAGCAGCTGTGGGCCTTGGGCAAGTTAAATGCCCTTTCTGAGCTTCAGTTTCCTCACCTGTAAGAGGGGCACATAAGAGCACCTCCTGCAGGGGGCTCCTGTGTGGCTGAAATGAGGCCCTCGGTGGGCGGGGAGCGCTCGGTGGGTGGGGTGCCTGATGGCTAACTGCCCTCATTAATGGGGGGCAGGGTCCCCACCAGAGGCCCTCACCTCTCCGCGCCGGGTCTGTCTGCAGACGAGCGTGGCAAGGACCACCTGCGGGCAGGCAAGCTGAACCTGGTGGACCTGGCGGGCAGCGAGCGGCAGTCCAAGACGGGTGCCACCGGGGAGCGGCTCAAGGAGGCCACCAAGATCAACCTGTCGCTGTCCGCGCTGGGCAACGTCATCTCGGCCCTGGTGGACGGGCGCTGCAAGCACATCCCCTACCGCGACTCGAAGCTGACGCGGCTGCTGCAGGACTCCCTGGGCGGCAACACCAAGACGCTGATGGTGGCCTGCCTGTCGCCTGCCGACAACAACTACGACGAGACGCTCAGCACGCTGCGCTACGCCAACCGAGCCAAGAACATCAAGAACAAGCCGCACATCAACGAGGACCCCAAGGACGCCCTGCTGCGCGAGTACCAGGAGGAGATCAAGAAGCTCAAGGCGATCCTGGCCCAGCAGATGAGCCTCAGCAGCCTGTCAGGTGGGCGGCTCGGACCAGGTGGCAGGAAGGGGCAGGGGACCCAGGAGAAAGGCTCTGGCCCTTGGTCTGCCTGCCTCCAGCTGAGCTGGAGAGACGGAGGCAACGTCCCCTGTCCCCTCAGCTTCATGGAACCTGGCTTTGGACCAGTGAGGGAGAGCCCTGGGGAGTGACAGCCCGAGGTGTCTGCTCGCTGATGCCCCCGGAAGAGGCCAGTGTGTCCATCCTGTCCCATCAGCTGGGAGGGGGGCTCTGTCGCCTGCTCCCTGCCCCGTCTGCCCACTGCCTCTGAGGCAGCGGCGTCATGCTGTGCTGCTCAGCAGTGGGGTGATTCACTCCACCTCCAAACCCCACTCCCACTGGGCACCTTGGGATGGCAGCGCTGGCGCCAGGCATTGGCTGTCGTCGCTGGTAGGAATCTTTTTTTTTTTTTTTTATAATATAGTATTTTTATTATTATTATTATTATTAGTTAAGGTATTACAAATGTGTCCTGCTCCCCCCAAGCTCCCCCGTCGCTGGTAGGAATCTTACCTGGCAGGTCTGCAAGGTTCTTGCAGCTGCGGGACACCAGGGTTTCTTCTCATCTGGAAACCTCTGGGGAGGGGAGCACAGAGGAGCCTGAGTCCGTCTCTCCATTCATCCGGCTCCCCACCCACCTTCCTCTCTATCCATCCATCCATCCATCCATCCATCCCCCCCCCATCCATTCTCTCCACCCACCCCTTCTAGCCTACCATCCACATCCACCCATTCATTCTCTCTATCCTGTTATCCACCCTTTTATCCATCTTTCCACCCACCCACCCACCATCCATCCAAAGTTCTCTGAGCACCCCCTCCGTGTGGACCTGTGCTGGGCACTGGGGACACAGCGGTGAATCGGATCCAGGCTCCACCTCCTGGGTACCTCCTCTCCGGGGAGGGGGGGCTCCAGCAGACCATCTTGTGGGGTGAGGTGAGTGAGCGTCGTCTGTTCTGTTCGCTGCCACACCCCCAGTGCCTAGAGCAGGCGGTGCTCAAGAAATCCTTCTGAAATGACTGAGTAAATTAGCACGTTACATAGAGACGCGCTTCGAATAAGCTCAATACTCTGAAGTCCTTTAGAACTGGCATGTGGTTGTCTTTGCAGATTGCTGCTTAGTTCCCGCAAACGGTGTGCACCCGGGTCACAGCCCCTCATTTTTGTCCCCCTCCCCCCCCAGCCCTGCTGTCCAACCAGGTGCTCCCAAACCCTGTCCAGACTGAGGAGAAGCCTTCGTCCCCGCCTGCGATCCAGCATGACACGGAGGCTGAGAAGCAGCTGATCCGGGAGGTGAGACCGGGAGCAGGTGGGAGAGGGCGGGCAGGTGGGGCCGGCAGGGGACCACCTCCAGAACGATGTCCTTTCACCCCCATCTCCTTGGGGTTGGCACAACAGTCTCCCTTTCGGGGTCACACAGCGGGCAGAGATCCTGGGGCCGTGACTTGCCCAAGGTCACACAGCTAAGGAGAGTCGGAGCGGGGATTTGAACTCGGGTTCCGGACTCCAGAGTCCAGTTCATCCCACATGAGTGGGAGAACAGGAAGGGGTGTGGGGGTGTCTGCAGGAGCCCCGTGTCTCCTCACAGCAGGCATGGGGGGCTGTGGGCTGGAGGAAGCGGAGAAGGCCTTCCTGGTAGTGGGAGTGGCCTGTGCGGAGGTGCGGAGGTCAGTTGGAAGGAATTATTCCCACAGCAGGTGCCACGAAGCCTGGGCTGAGAGCAGGCCAGCTGGGGTGGGCGGTGGGGAACCCCAGGTGCCCATTTGACTGGTGGATAAGTGCGGTGTTAGCCTCCCAGAAAAAGCTGTCACTTGGGTCCTCCTCCCACATGTGGGCTCCTAGGATCCCGGGAACGGCAGGGCAGGTAACACCCTGATTTGCAAATACGGAGCTGATCCCTGGAGTTGGGGGGCGGGGGGCACTAACATGGCCGGCCCCCAACTCCAGGCTCTGTTAGTTTCCGGAGGTTCCTGCTAAAGGGCACATTCTGAGGCCCGAATGTGGTGGGTTTTGGCACTTGGCAGTCCCTTTAGGGCCCTGGCTTTTTCTTGGTGGAGAGCCCAATGCCAGCAGGAACAGCTGCAAGGCCCGGGGCCTGGGGCCTGGACGTGCCTGTTGCTGGGCCTTTGCCACTCAACTATGACCTCAGGTGGGACCAGCCCTGAGGCCCTGGGAGCCTGGTCAGGCTGTGGGGGCCCGGGGCCCAGCCTCGGGGGGCAGACCAGGTAAGGCCTGGGGCCTCCGTCCTGTGGACTAGAGGCTGGGGAAATGGACTGAGGGTCCCCGAGAGCTGCCCCGGGCAGGCAGAGGCCGTTACCGTTCAGGGAGAGGCTCAGCTGGACACCGTCCGGGCCCCGTGAAGGTTTGGGAGCTCAGCGGCTCTGTCTGCCTCTTCCCTGCTGGGAGCTCCGGGGCAGGGCGAGGAGGCAGCCTTTAGCAATGCCGAGCCCAGGCCCACAGTGAGAGGTCACACTTTGGGGGCTCAGAGTGGGTCTGGAATCACAGCAACAGGTGGCCATTGGTCACAAACAGTGGGGGTGGGAAGGGTTGGTCAGGGGGTGGGATGGAAGCGTCCTTCCCAAGGAAGACCCATTGGGTGGGCAGGCACCGCCCCCTAGTGGTCACCAGGGAGAAGAGACGCTGTGCAGGCTCCAGGGTCCATCGACCTGGGGAATGGGGGTGCCTGCCTCCGCCCCAGGGGGCGGCCCAGTGGAGGCTGCCCCAGAGGCCGCCACCACCAAGTCTGTTTCCTGACCCTAGAGTTTCTTCTGTGAGCCACACTGGGAGGAAGCGTGGAGGGGGTCTGTCCTCTCGCCCTCCCATTCCAGAACCAGTCAGGGCGCCCGGGATTAGGGAGGTGGCCCCTGCGTGCCGTGGAGAGGGTGCCGGGCCAGGGGATGACTCAGCCGTGAGCTGGAGGTGTGACTGTGGGCTTCAGTCTCCTAGGCTTATGGGGCAGGATTTGAGCTAGAAGATTCCTAGGGCCCATGCAGCTTTACAGTCTGCAGGTCCAGTTCTCACGGGCTCGCTGGCCTCGGGCAGGTTGCTGGAGGCCTGTTTCTCCCCTCTAGAATGGGTACAGTGGCAGCTTCCCTATTGCAGGGGTCTCATTGCCGGGGTTTGCACTTGGCCCCCATTGAATCACGGTTTTCTGAGCACCTTCTGGGCACGGGCACTGTAGCTGGAGGCGCACATGGGATCCAGGAAGAGTTTTATGGCTTTTAATATTGGAAGGAAGAGAGCAGGTTTTGTAAACTGCTGGGAATGGTTTCGAACGGAGGGAGAAGTCGGTGATGTCGGAGGGAGATGGGGATTGAAAGAGTGAAGTCCCCGGTGGGGTGGCTCAGTGTCAGATGGTTCGTCCACTGTCACAAGAGGGGACGCAGAGCTTTGGGGCGGGCGGACCTGCAGGTGGATGGAAGGTGCGGGGCTGGGAAGGTGAGGAAGTTCATGGCCAGAGGCTTCAGAGTTCTCTGTAAAGTGTGAGACAGGAAGTGGGCGGGGTACGGAGGGCTAGAGGGAGGGGAGTGGGAGGACTGGGTTGAGGACCCTTTGGTTAAAACCTATCTGTTGATGCGAAGAGGTGTTCCTGAGGTATTGCCGTGTGGGGAAAATAGACGACACACACACACATGCATTCTTCACCCGTTAAACATGCACAGGGAGAAGTTCTAGTAGGGTCTTCACCAGCCATTCCAGCGTTGGGTGGGTCATTTTAATTCAGTTCTCTTGGCTTATTTGTATTTTCTGGATCACTGGGGGGGGGGGGGGGCATACTGAACGCTGAAATGGTGATAAAGCGCTTGCCCTCCTGTGCTCCTCTCACACACACCCCCCCCCCCCCGCCCCCCAGGAGTACGAGGAGCGCCTGGCCCAGCTGCGGGCAGACTATAAGGTGGAGCAGGAGTCCAGGGCCCGGCTGGAGGAGGACATCACTGCCATGCGCAACTCGTACGACGTGAAGCTGTCCACGCTGGAGGAGAGCCTGCGCAAGGAGACAGGTGCGCGCCTGCCCCGGCTCTGGGGGGAGACCGGCCTGCTTTCCGCCTCATTTTACCCCCTGGCGTCTATAGAGCGCTCTGTACGCACCAGGGTTCGCTGTGTGTACTCCTCACAGCAGCCATCGAGGTAGGTGCCACAGTGACTCTCATTTTGTAAATGAGGCAACTGAGGCACAGAGAGGGTAAGTCACACAGCAGGTAGAGTGGAGACAGGATTCGAACCCAGGCCGTCTGGCCCCAGAGCCAGTGTTCTCACCCACAGCACTGCTTGCGTGGTGCCTTGGCCACAGGCTGGGGCCCTCGCCCAAGGCCAACTGAGAGTTGTAACGTATCCCCCATGTGTCATGGGTAAGTCCTCTTCTAGAGTTTCTGCATTTTTTACTGTCTTCTCTCATTTTTGAGTCCATCTGTTACCAAAGCAACCATATCCCATAATAAGCATTCAATCATTAGTAAGAACTTGAACCTTCCTGGAAGTTTTTGTATCTATATCTATATATCTATAAATATCTATCTATCTATCTATCTATCTATCTATCTATCTATCTATCTATCCATGTCCCCGCGCACAAATCTGTGTGCCAGCTCACTGCTGCCCTCCAGTAGCTCTCTGCCCACTGCCCCGCCCTCCTGTAGCTCCCCCTGCCCCCCATAGCTTGCTGCCCCGCCCTCCTGTAGCTCCCCCTTCCCCCATAGCTTGCTGCCCCGCCCTCCTGTAGCTCCCCCTTCCCCCCATAGCTTGCTGCCCTGCCCCCTCCTGTAGCTCTCCGCCTGCTTGTAGCTCGCTGCCCCACCCTCCTGCTGATCCATGATCCAGTTGTTACGCTGTCAGTTGTTATGCTTCATGGCGTAATGACAATTTACATATTACATCTTTATTATATAGGATACACACACACTAGAGGCCCGGTGTTCAAAATTCGTGCACTGGGGAGGGGGGGTCCTTCAGCCTGGCCTATGC